TTTTTTTTTTCAATTCGGACCGATCCGGACATGATAATCCGGACCATCCAGACTGATCCGGACCATTTCCGGACGGTCCGGACTGGTTCGGAAATCCGGACGTCCGGATCATATCCGGACCGACTGGTTGTCTGGGTCCGGATCGGTCCGTACGTCGAGGGAGTCCAGGCGTCCTTTCGCCTAGAGAAGGATGGGAAGGTAGAGAAAGTTCTCCATTCCCTGATTCTCCTCGTAGAAGATAGCCTTCCATTCGACATGGTTCTAGGAATGGACTAGGGAGAGGCAGCAGGGGCCACACTCCACTTGAGAGAGCACGAGTGTAGGCTCCCTAGTCCATCAGGCGAAGTCAAGACTGCTCGCCTGTTCCATATGTCAGGAGTAGACAACTCCCTGACACATTGTTGTCTCAGTGCTCCTGTGTTTGCGCGATTGGTAAAGAAGGGGCAACTAGAAGAACAAGTTTTTGTAGCCTATGTTAGGCCTGTCACCAAGCCTACGGAAGAGAAACCCATTGAGCCGGGTATTGCCAACCTGCTGGAAGAGTATACAGATTTAGCTAAGCCACCTACAAGAGTAGTGCAGCGGCCCATCCAGCATCGTATTGAGATAGAGCCTGGCAGTAGAACTCCTAAGGGAGCTATCTACAGAATGTCCCCAAGGTAGCTAGAGGAGTTGCGCAAGCAGTTAGATGAGCTCCTCGAGAAGGGTTGGATTAGGCCCAGTTCATCTCCATTTGGAGCACCTGTTCTTTTTGTCCCCAAGAAGGAAGGAGAGCTTAGAATGTGTATTGACTATAGGGGTCTCAATATCGTCAAAGTGAAGAATGCAGAACCACTGCCCCGGATAGATGACCTGTTAGATTGGGTGCAAGGCTGCAAGTACTTCTCTGAGATAGATTTGAAGTCTGGCTATCATCAGATAAAGGTACACCCTGATGATCAGTATAACACGGCGTTCCGGACTAGATATGGGCACTACGAGTTTCTAGTGATGTCGTTTGGACTAACCAATGCGCCAACTACATTCCAGCGTTGTATGAACGATCTGTTTACGCCATGGTTAGATAGGTTCGTAGTAGTATACCTAGATGATATTCTAGTGTTTAGTAAGACCCTCCAGGAGCATGAGGGTCATTTGAGGCAGGTCTTGGAGAAGTTGAGACAAGCTAACTTCAAGATCAACACGAAGAAGTGCGAGTGGGCCAAGACGCAAATTTTGTACTTGGGCCACGTCTTAGATGGAAATGACATAAAACCTGAGGACAATAAGATAGCAGCGATCAGAGATTGGCCAACGCCTCGCACAGTGACAGTGTTGCGGTCGTTCCTAGGCCTAGCAAATTACTATAGGAAGTTCGTGAGGAACTTCTCTATCATCGCTGCACCCCTTAGCAGGTTGTTAAAGAAAGAAGTGATATGGGAATGAGATAAAGATTGTACGTCGGCCCTGAAGAAGTTGAAGCGGGCCTTGATTGAGTACCCCGTCCTTAAGGTAGTCGATCCATCATTACCTTTTGTTGTCACCACTGATGCAAGTCAGTATGGTGTAGGTTTCTACAGCAAGATGATGGCAATGGGTGTAGACCCGTAGAGTTCATGTCTGCTAGGATGCCTTCAGAGAAGGTAGCGACATCTACCTACGAGAGGGAACTCTACGCTCTCAGGCAAGCATTGGATCACTGGAAGCACTACTTGCTTGGGAGGCACTTCAATGACTATTCAAACCACGAGACATTAAGGTGGTTGAAGACTCAGGCCAAGATGATACCTAAGCTTACTAGGTGGGCTGTAGAGATAGACCAATTTGACTTCGAGCTCAAGCCAGTCAAAGGAAAGTATAACGTAGTTGCGGACACTCCAAGTAGGGGGGCTGATTCCTTTGGAGCGATAGTTCATTATCTGGATATAATGAGAGATCTGCAACAGAAAGTCAGAGAGGCATATGCGCAGGACCCCATTTACAGTGACCTCCTCAAAAGGGTTAAGGAGGCCCCAAAAACTAAACCAGATTACCGCACTACTGATGGGTTGTTATTTGAGAAGACTAATGTAGTTGACCGTCTGTG